TAACCCTCGCAAAGTTAAATATTGTAAGTCCGGCAATCCTAGATAGCTCCGATATTGGCGAATTTAAAAGCAGACAGCCTATTAACATTAGTTTAATTGAAATATTAGAAGTATCTAGTATAAGTGTTTTTCAAAATTCCGATATCCTCCATTTTCTGATTAAATTCCTTAACCCTAAGCTTGTCTGTAAGAAGATAACGGTCTATCCGGTCCAGCACCACAATAAAATCCTGGACTTCGAAAGTGGAACCCTAGTCGCCGAGTGCCCAGGACGAAACCTCAATATCGGGTACTGCAAGACGACGGTCGGCGCTACCTTCTGCAGAGAACTCCAGAACGGCACTTGCGCCCAACAAATAGTTTCCGGAGCTGTTGCGCACTGCTCCACACTCCCAGGCCATCTGGATCCAGTCACTGTGGTGGATCACGGCACTCTCATAGTGAACGATGCCAATATGACCATGACCGACGACCAAGGACGGGACCAAAAAATATCCGGAACCTACCTGGTAACCTATTCCGACAAAGTAAGCCTAAACGGAACCTGGTTCATTAATCAGCTAGGAAGTTCGATGAAAAAACCCGCTGTGTCGGCCATGACCGCGGTCAACATCACGAACCACCAAAACCGACTGAGTCTTCCGTTTCTCCACGAGCTGAGTTTGAGGAACTTGCACCACATTGGGACCCTTAGAGAAGAACTGACCTTGGGCTCCTCCTTCAGCTACTTCCTCGCCCTACTCGCCTGCTTCCTACTGTGCTCTACAGTTTGGCTCGGCTACCATCTCCTAAAAACCAGACGTCACGGCGAATCAGGAAGTGACGCGGAATTAGCAGGTCACCGGGACGGCGACCACTTAAACACAACTAGTTCCCACGGAGCAAAATTGTCGAGTTGCAGCCCGTATCCGGTGGCCAACACGCGCAGTAAGGGAACTGCCGAATCGACACTCTGGGGTTCATCGCCCGGAGTCCGGCCAGAAACGCGCACGCATCAGGTGACCGTCGCTGGCCAGATACCAAGTGCTGACCCGGCGCTTTAGCGGCAGCGCTGGGAACACTTGCTCAGCGAATGATCGCGAGTGGCCGAATACCAAGTGCTGACCTTGCACTTTGGCGTCAGCGCTGCAACCAGGTAAAGGCCTCGAGCTGGGGCCGGATCAGACCTTCGAATTAGTTTTAATTACACTCCGTCGGCTAACGCACATGCGAAATAAAATAGTAATTACCTTTGGCTTAATCAAACTTGTAATCAACAAAATAATAATTTATCCTTTACTCTAAAGAGTTTAGGATTAATAAATGATATAAAACTTGAATCAACCAGATTTTATAATTTATATACTAAAGTTACAATATATATACTAAATAATTAAACTTCATAAAAGTCGACTATATCATAAAGCTGTCATATAAAAAATCGTCGAAAATATGGAAACTTAATAGAAAAATCGACATATGTAGCTTCGATGTTGTTTAGCCTTTATGTACATATTTTGTTCGATATACATATTTAATGACTGCAAGGGTATATCAACTTCCTTTCTTGACCCCAAAATTAATGTCCTAAAAAACTTGTGACCGGGAAAATCTCTCTTTTCCTCTCTCTTTTTCGTCTCCTTTTCCAAACACGTGTATCTCAAAACTGTATTTTTAATATTAGCCGGACACTAACTAAACGATTCACTTGAAATTTGAAATATAACTTGAAAATAACAATAAATATTTTTGAAAATAGTTTAATTGTTATAAACAATAATCATATTATTTTTTTCTCTTTTATATAGAATGAAAAAAAAACTTTATTATTTTTTTTAATAAATATAAATATATGTATGTAGTATCATCCACTATGAGCTGTTCGCCTATGGCCCAACGCTCAATTCAGACTTGTACTGCCAACAACTGGACCGTTTGAATGCAGCACTCATGCAGAAGAGGCCATCTTTGATCAACAGAGGGCGAATTGCCTTCCATCAGGACAACGCCAGGCCACACACATCTTTGGTGACGCGTCAGAAGCTCCGGGAGCTCGGATGGGAGGCTGTTTTGCATCTACCGTATAGTCTGGATCTCGCACCAAGTGATTACCACCTATTTCTATCCATGGCGCACGAGCTTGATAGTCGGAAGTTGGCCACAAGAGAGTCCTGTGAAAATTGGCTCTCCGAGTTGTTTGCCAAGAGGGAAGCGAGCTTCTATGAGAGGGGCATTATGAAGTTGGCATCTCGTTGGGAACTCGTCATCGAACAAAACGGGAATATTTGACTTAAATCGCATTATTATAACCAATTTTATGGACAATTGAAAATTCAATAAAAATACCGCAAGACTTTTGTAATACCCTCTGCAAGAGTATGAAAAAAACTCCAAGTCAAGGAGTAAACAAGAAATAAAATTAAAGAAAGGGAAAAAGGAAAATATGTTAGGATTTTAATTGTCAATAAAATATTAAAACTGTTGAAAATTAATATAAATTATAAATTTAGTTTTTTAAATTTATTTCTTCAATAATTACAACATTTACTTATTCTATAAGTATTGTTTTTTAAAAACAAGAAAGTAAGCTAGCTTCGGCAAGCCGAAGCTTACATATATGTATACCCTTGCAGTCATCAAATATGTCGAACAAAATGCATAAAGGCTAAACAACAACGAAGCTGGGACGATTTTTCTATTCATTTTCCATATTATTGTCTATAGATCATATGGCAGCTATATGATATAGTTGTCCGATTTTGATCAAATTTAATTCGTAGTTCAAGAGCTTGTGGGATAAAAAACAACGATGTTATCAATTTATTTCCATTAATTCTATATATATTTTTCGATCTCTCCTATGGCAGCCATGTATATGACAGAGTTATCCGATTTTGATCAAATTTAATCCGATTTTCAATAGTAGTTAGAAAACGCCACCTGGAAGAATTCAAGTCGATCTGATCAAAAACACGGCCTGAGAATTTTGTATTTTATTCTCTCGTATTGGAGCTATCCGATATAGTCGGCCGATCCGGCTCGTTCCGACTTATGTTAGGTTGTCAAAAAGTCTTGCGGAATTTTTATTGAATTTTCAATTGTTCATAAAATTGGTAACAACCGTAACCAACGTTTGGCCATAGGGGAGCAGCTCATAGTGGATTATTCCCTGCCAATCCCACCAAACACACAGAAGAACCTTCCTGGCCGTCAATCCAGGCTTGGACACCGTCTGGGCCGCTTCACCGCTTTTCGACCACGACCGTTTGCGCCTTACGTTATCGTAAGTAACCAACTTTTCATAGCCAGTCACCATACTCTTCAAAAACGGGTCGATTTTGTTGCGATTTAGACGCCATTCGCATGCGTCGATACGGTCAAAGATGTTTTTTCGCGTCAATTCGTGTGGCACCCATACATCGAGCTTCTTAGTGACTCCAAGCTTCTTCAAATGGTTAATAACGGTTTGATGACTCATGCTCTTGACCCACGCTACGGCTGCTACTATGCTGGTCTCTTTCAACCAATTCAGCGATTTTATCGCAATTTTCGACGACGGGCCTTCCGCAGCGTGGCGCATCTTCGACCACCTCTACACCAGAACGAAAACGTTGAAACCATCGTTGTGCGGTGGATATGGAAACTATATCGGGTCCATAAACTGCACAAATTTTATTGGCGGCTTGAGATGCATTTTTGCCTTTATCGTAGTAGTGCTGTAAAATATGCCGTATTTTCTCTTTATTTTGCTCCATGATTGCGACGCTATAACTAACGAACGACTTAAAAGAAAAGTCAATCAAACACGTATTAGCGCGTGAAATGAGCTTTCCAAAAAGGTATAGTATGACCTGATGCGACGAATAAAACAAGAACTACGCGCTCTCAGCGCCAACTACCGAAAATACCGCAAGACTTTTTTGACAACCTAATATACTGCGTGCAATAACTACACACCTTTTGGGAAAGTTTCAGCAAGATAGCTTTAAAACTGAGAGACTAGTTTGAAGAGCAACAGACAGACGGACAGACGTATTCTGATTCTACTCGTGATGCTGATCAAGAATATATATACTTTATGGGGTCTGAGGTGTTTCCTTCACTGCGTTGCAAACTTCTGACTGAAATTATAATACCCTTTTGCTCTGCAAGGGTATAAAAACCGCAATCGATTTAATTGAAATCTCTAATCTGTACATTGCACGGCGACTTTGAAAACACGACTTTTCAGTAGAAGCTTTAAAAGTTTACTTTTACCATTTCAGCCATTTGAAACGCACTCACTAAATTGCGTATTTCTTTGAAAATAAGTACCGGACGGCTTTATGCTTTTAAAGGCTTATTCCCAGACACATTTCAAAAAAAAAAATTTCTAATTGTATTTCCCCCTTAACACAACTATTACCAAATAACGGCAATTCTGAGCGATGCAATGTACGATATAACGAAGTTAACAGAAAAAAAATTAGGTTTTTAGGTTCTAACCAAAAAACTCCACATTAAAAAAAAAAGGACATTCAACGATGTCGTCTACCGGTCGCTCTGATCTTTCGAATCGATATAATTTAGTTTAAGCCGCTTTCTTATATCTTATGGTTTCAATTGGGTTATTTCATCAGAATTTCCTTTTTATTTAGCAATTCTATCCATCATGCGAAAGCTACATGAACTTTGACTCGCAAAGAAAAGAAAAAAAATTACTAAACATTATTATCAATAGTTTGCTTACATATAAAAAAACAATGTTTTTTAATTCAAGCTAAACTTTACGAAAGTATTATACAGAATAACGGCCAAAGAGGACATTTAAAAAAATTCTTTTTTCCTATAGAAATTTAAATTAGCAACTCCATGAGCATTTAAAAGTTTCTAATATTGTTCACACGAAAAAAATATGGACAGTTTTTTGATGATGTTTAGCTTACCATTTCCGGACATCTAACACTTTTGAAAGGTTATAAAGTTTTGCAACAATTAAACAGTTATTTTTAATACTTTAATATATCTTATTTTGTTTATTGAGTTATCAGATTGGTGAACTAATTAATTAAATAATATATTTTACAATTAAGTTGGTTAAATGTAAATGCTGTAAAAACCTTTTTGTAAAGGATTATTAAAAATGCGTTTTTTAATTTTTTAAAGTAGGAATTTCCTTTAAGAACAAAATTAAAACACATTTTATAATTTCTTTCTAACCATTTCCGAAAGCAATGCACCCTCATTATTTGACATAACGGCAACACTGGAATCCTTGGCCTTATATGAAGTGCTTGGTGCGCGCTGAATAGTTCTGTCTTCATAGCGAGTACGTCCCTGTGAAGCCATAGGCCTATTAAGGGTATTGTTTGCGTTATTTGGTGAACTTGGTGGGGTACTATGTGCTGTAAAACTTTTACTAATAAAATCTTGCTCTTTCCATCCATTTTTTTTATAACCGTCGCGTAATTCATTATGTTGCCACATAGTGTACAAAACTTGACTAGCGAATTTTAATACGCAAGAGGTATATTTTTCTTTTCGTTTTGTTACATTCATAAGCCGATCAATTCCTCCTGAATCTAATAACGAACGCGAAAACTCAGGATTTTTTTTAATAACTTCATTAATTGTGGCTAATACAGCTGTTATTGTGTCGTCTGAAGTATTTTGGTCATGTTGCACATTTCCAGATGGAAGTTTCTGTACTAAATCCCGCATCGCATACTTTCCAATGAGTTCTTTGTTACGTTGATCAATAGCTAAATTGCGAAGTGCTGTGGCAACCGCACAGACTACTCGATCAACTTCCATTCTTAGAAGCTCTACAAGAATAGGGAGACCTTTCTCCTTGCGCACTGTTGCTCGAATATCAATACTCGGTTGCCAATAGCATGCAGATAAATTTTGTATTGCACCTGCAGCGGCTTCGAGTGTTTCTGGATTAGAACAACTTTGCAACAATGACAGATAGTATTGAACTACTTCAGGTTGCCATAATTGCTCGTATCCTTTATTGAGTTGGTTATATGACACAGAACTTTTCGAGTATTCTGTTGCAATGTTGTATTCCTGTAACGCTTCGGAATTGTGGATAGCATCTTTCTTTTTTTTACTTGTTCCGAAACATCCTAAATTTTCTCCTGCAAAGAGGAAAGTATAGTTTTAATAGCTAGAAAAGGTTAAATTTTTATAATATTTGGTATTTATTATATAAACCTTAAAAGAGTTGCTTAATAGTGTGTGAAAAAATATAAGGTAATAAGAACGTGTTAGCCAGGCTTCTTATCATTAAAAAAAAAGTTTGCGCTTTAAACTGTAGCACCACTAGATAATTTTACAAAACAAATTTCACTTACAAAATATTCAAAATTATTAAACTTTAAATTAAAATGTAAAATATAAAAAAAAATCAATTTTTTTTCATAGATTGATAGAATAACGTCTTGAGAGTATATTCCCGAAGTTTTATGACTCAACTCTCAATATTATGGAAAATATCAGTGATTGAACGAGCGCGCTCGGACGCTCAAGACCCACCAACTCAAAACTTTTTTTTTTTTTTAGCTTTGCTTTTATTTATTGAATCTACTCTTAATTTTGAGACTAACAATAAGTTGGCGAATCTTAACATTAAAATTTAACTAACAGTATACTAGACTGCATTCTGGTGGCGCGTCCCTCAGGTCGTTCGCTGGGTGGGTAAGTCGTTGCGACGAAGGCGTGATTGGTTGCTCAACCTTGTTAGACCTCTCGCCAGGTGGTTAGGGTGCACCGATAGCTTGGTTAAGTACTTTGCCTTCTGTTCAGCGATCACTTCTTTGACTGGTAGGATGTTTAAGTCGCGGTGTATGTTTTCGTTGCGAACGTACCACGGTGCCCCGGTGATAGTTCTCAAGATCTTCGACTGAACTCTTTGAATTATGTCAATGTTGCCATTGCTGGCGTTCCCCCATAACTGGGAGCCGTACATCCATATAGGTTTTAGGACCGAGTTGTACAGCAGGACTTTATATTCAAGGCTAAGAGATGACCGAGCGTTGATAAGCCAATGTAGGCTGCTGGCTTTTAACTTTAGGTGTGTTCTTTTGGCTTCAATGTGCCGGCGCCATGTGAGTCTTCTGTCGAGATGTACTCCTAGGTATGTTACTTCGTTTGCTTGTGGGAGTAGGGTGTTGTTTAATGTAATCGGCGGGCAGTTTTGCCTGTTCAGAGTGAACGTAACGTGCTTGCATTTTAGTTCGTTCACTTTAATTCGCCAATCTGACAGCCATTTTTCAACATCGACCAAATGAAGAGCTAGCTGCGCAGTTGCTTGAATCGGGCATTTTGAGCGGCTAAGAATAGCTGTATCATCGGCAAACGTGGATGTTGTTAGACGTGTGCTTGTCGGGATGTCTGCTGTGTACAGGACATATAAAATTGGTCCTAGCACGCTACCTTGAGGAACTCCAGCTCCAACAGTGTAATCGTCAGATATAGCAGTGTTGCACCTCACGGCAAATTTTCTGTCGAAAAGGTAAGACTCTAAAATCTTGTGGGTGCTGTAGGGGAGCATTGTCTTGATCTTGTACATTAGACCTTCTAGCCAGACTCTATCAAATGCTTGAGAGACATCTAAAAATATGGCAGTACAGTACTCCCGTTTTTCGAACGCGTTCCGAATTTCGGATGTTATTCGGTTGACCTGCTCAATTGTTCCATGCTTTTCACGAAACCCAAATTGGTGTGACGGGATTCCTTCCTGGATTCTCAGGTGTGTGTTTATCCGAGTCATTAGGCATTTTTCAAAGAGTTTGGATAGGCAAGAGAGTAGGCTTATAGGTCTATACGACGTGGGGATAGTGTGGTCTTTCCCCGGCTTTGCTATCATTATTATAATTGACTTTTTCCATCTCACTGGAAAGTGGCCAAGTTTTGCGATGGCATTAAATAGCTGGGTGAGAGTGCAAACGGCGCAGTATGGGAGCTCAATGATCATTTTGGGAGTTATGAGGTCGCAGCCCGGGGATTTTTTCGGATTCAGTTGTCTTTTGATGATGTTAACGATTTCGTTTGGGCGAAACTCGATTGGCTCATGTTGAGGCTGGGGTTCATATGATAGAGTCGGCAAAGTAAACGCATTGGTGGCAGGATTTGGTTGGAAGACATTTTTAAGGTGTTTGGCAAACGTGCTGGCTCTGTCTGCGTCGCTGCGCGCCCACCCGCCTGTGGAATTTCTAATTGGCATCACGGTTTCTTTCGGTGAGCTCATAGTTGGGTGAGCTCTCCATAGTGAGTGTTTTGTACTGTTAGTTGACAATTGCTCTATGTAGCGGCGGTGGACATACGTTTCTTCTTGCTGTAGAGCTTGATCAAGTTGACGTGAGGCTTGTTTTAAGCGTTGCTTAGCAGATGGCGATCTGTGACATTGCCATTCTCGGCGTAAGCGTCGCTTTTCGAGGACGAGCTGTTCGATTTGTAGATTTGTCTTCTTTTGAATGTATTGTGTGGTTGTAGTTTGAGGTGTTGAAACTCGAGCTGCAGAGACGAGTACAGACTCCAGTGAATTAACAAAACTGTCTACGTTGGCTTCGTCGCTGAGGTGAGGACTCAGCTCAATGTGTGAGCTGATATACTTCCTGTACTTAACCCAATTGGTTTTATGTGAGGTCAGTTTTGATGAGTGGTCCCATGTTCCTGGGTGTCGGAGTAGAGTAAAGAGGACAGGCGAGTGGTCAGATGAAAGATCCGAAAGGCATTCGGCGCTTATCATATTTTTAGGAATGTTTTTGGTAATCGCAAAGTCTATTAAATCGGGAAGTTTCTTTGGGTCTGCCGGCCAGTATGTTGGAGTGCCAGAAGAAACATAGTCTAGCTTGTTCTTAGCTTTGATAATTGCATTATAGAGCTGCTTTCCTTTTGGGGTCACGAGACGAGATCCCCAGTGTGTGTGCTTGGCATTGTAGTCTCCTGCTGCTATGAAGTGGTCTCCGAGTGAGTTGAAAAACTGCATAAACTCATCTTCGGCTATGGTGAAGCGTGGGGGCAGTATACGGCGGCTAGAGTTAGTTGCTTGCCAGTATTTAGGTGTATATTTATTGATGTGGCCTGTATGTAGTTTTTAGCAAATTTCGTATGGTAATGGTGCTTAATGCGGCTTCTGATTAAAATTCCAGTCCCGCCGTGTGCTTTACCATCTGGATGATTTGTTCCATAGAATGTATATCCTCGTAGTTGGAAATTGTATTTGTTTGTAAGATGTGTTTCTGAAAGCAGCATTACGTCGATTTGATTGTCTAGAAGGAATTGCGCTAACTCGAGTTTGTGCTGCGAAACGCCGTTAGCGTTCCACGTAGATATTCGTAGGGAAGTCATTATTTGGATTGTTGTGAAACCAGCATTTGTATAAGTAGATTTTGGTTACGCATTAGATCTTGCATAGTTGTACGCATAAACGACATAAACTCCGTAAGGCTTTGTTGTAGACTGCATATCAAAGATTCAAAGTTACTTTTTGGCTGCTCCGGCGGTTGATGCTGCTGAGCCGTGTTCGGTTCTTGGTGTGCAGATTGCGGCAGTGAGATTTTTGGGGCTGGGGTAGCCAGTCCTGATTTTAAAGCGCTTGCGTATGTGACATTTTTGGCAGAGTTTATGGGTCGTAGTGAGGATCTGGCTGCAGTCGAGAAGAAGACTTCAGGGTTTGACCTGGAAGCTATGAACTGATTATTTTGGGTGCGGGCAGTAGATCCCCTCTGGTGGATGCGACTTTTCAGCTCCTTATAAACTGGGCAACCTCTATAGTTAGCAGTGTGATTTCCACCGCAGTTGCCGCACTTTTTCGAGTTCTGGTCATCTTTGCTCGCTGGGCAGTGTGCGGAGTCATGGAGCTCACCACAAACTACACACACCGGGCGCAGTTTACAGTAAGACCTTGTATGGCCATATTCTTGGCAGTTCGCACATTGTACCGGGCCATTGCGTTTGTGCGGCTCCTCAACTGTAATTCTGCGGTGCAGCAGGAACTGAAGATTGTATATAGGGTGCACTTCGTATTTCTTTAGGGGCTTAATTTGTGGCTCGAGCTCAACCTTAAAGAGTGGCTGTGGCTTTCTCTCCATGTTGAGGATATTGAAGACTGTCTTGGCGCTAAATCCCTTCTCTTGTAGCGCCTTTGTTATCTCTGCAGGCGATACTTCGGGCTCTATGCCCTTTAGTACGACTTGCAGGCCCTTGCTGCTTTTTAGCTGATACGTGTAAAAGTTCTTTTTTTTGTCGGTGAGGTATTTCGATAATACTCTGTAATTATCTTCAGACTTCGTTTGAACTTTTGTTTCCTGGATATTGCCCTTTACGAGTGGTATTATGTGGAAGTTGTCCTTGCCAATAAGCTCTATAATTTTGTTGACAAGAACGTTGGAACTTTTTTTCTCGTATGTAAATTGGCGGGGGCTTAGGCTTCCTTTTTTCGACTTCTGTAGATTCGGCGTCATCCTCATAGTCTGCCAAGATTTTAAATCGGTTTGAGTTCGTGGGCGTTTCTACTGCAGCTATGTTAGCATTGCCACGGGTTATTTTCCGTTGAGAGTTAAGGGGGCTCAGCTTCCTTTTGATTTGGATGTACCGATCCATACCAGTCTGCACAGCCGGCTTAGTGTTTTCCTTGTTATTGTTATCTTTTTCGGGCAGCGCAGCGGAAACTTTAAATCGTTTTTTCTCAAATCTATGATTTTAAAAACGCGGTACACGATTACGAAAAAACTACTGAGCCTATTTTTGATTTCTAAAAAGTGTTTTGTAGATTATACATTGAACGAGTGCATGAAAATCCGAAATTGTGAAAAAAGTTTTTTTTTACACTTTTCAACCCAATTCAGCAACAAAAAAAGACGAAAAAATGGCACTTTTTTTCAAGACGTGATTTCAATATTTTAAAATCGAATTTTTTGAAGTTGCAGACATTCATGCACTCGGGGGAACCCTGCTGAATAATAAAAAATGTTTTTTGTATGTTTCTGATGAAAACTTTGGGCTCCACACTGTACCGCAATAAATCCGTCATCCGCGTCGCGCCACACGCGACCTTGAAAAAGTCAGTCATTTTGTTTTTTTAGAATTTTCAAAAAATGTTTTTCTCATACCTTAAACATGTCTTCAAATATAT